ATAGAAGAGATAATTATTTTTCAGTTAAAAAAAAAATGAATACCTAAGTATGTGATGAGTTAAAATGGTTGAAAAGTGAAATAAATTTTGGGAATTTAATGACATTAATTTTGTCACAAACTCATCCGTACATAACGTAAACAGTTGCTTTTTTAATTCAGGAGTAATATACAGACCATTTTAAAAAGATTAAGCAATAAATCAAAAGTTTTATGGGTAGTATTAATTTTTTTAATGAATTAATAACATGGTCGTCTCAAAATGATTTCAAGATTCCTCGAAATGAGATGAAATTTAAAAATAATTTTTGGAATGACACTAGAATTTGCTAAAAAATTTTTTCCTCTGCAGAGGTCCAATGTACATGGTAGATACCACGGATACCCCGCTTATTTTGTTAAAAATTATTTTTTTTATCTTTGCGAAAAAAAATGTAAGACACTTTTACGGTTCAACCACGTTCGAATATTACGTGTTTACTTGCATGTAAAAAAAATTTTTATTTTTATTTAAAACTGATTATATAACACGTATTTTTTTACATGTAGAAAAAAGCACCATAATCTTTTCTGAAATATCAATGTGAAGAACTTCATTAAAGTAACATGCTCACTGAGACAAATGCAATGTCATATTCGTTGGAAAGATGATAAAGCATCTTGGGGTCAAAGTGTGGATCGAACGTAAACAGATGAAAGCAATATATTATCGGAACGAGTGCAAAGCCAAAAACTCGATTAGTTGGCTACTTGAAAGCAAAGAGGAACATTGTTTTTATTGTTGATATTGATTGAAAAATTTTTTAGAGCATAACTTTTTTTAGTTTTCGAGATATGCAGATCAAGGACAAAAAAGCTATTGTCATTGGATCGTCCAATGGCTTGGGTGCTGCTTTTACCAAAGAATTGCTGCGCAACAGCGTCGCGGTAAGAGGGATAATTTACTTTTTGTTCATTTCTTGGTTTGAAATACAGTTTATTCATACCAATCAAACAAACAAGCTCAGATGCGCTATTGTGAAAAATTTTACCTATTAAAAACAATCAATTCTGCAAAACAAACGATTTTATTTGTCTCCTTAGGGATTTATATACTATCTCAACTGATCGTATTATGGATTGACCTTTCAAGTTATTATAAAAGTAAATTATATTTTAGTAAGAATTCTTCTATAGCACACTCATAATAAAATGAATTTTCATAAAGTTATAGCGAAGTAGCAGATTTTTTTTATGAAGCAATCGTGTCAAGACACAATTTGTTTTTTTTGAGTATTAAATTTTTAGTGCATCAAATTAAGTACATTGACACAACTTTAATAACATTAATAATTTTTGTTATAATAATAATTATTATTGGTGGTGTAATAAACCCATGATCAAATAATGACGAAAAATCAACTCACGATTAATAAAGCCGATATCCCTTGTTTCGTACCATCCAAGGCCGGCATGGTGTCCGTCGCAATGCTGGCAATGGAACACATGGGCAGAGACAAAGGTGGCAAAGGCGGTGTTTTGATCAATATCGCCGAACACCTCGACGTCCACTGCACGGCCCAACTGCCCGTCTACACGGCCACCAAGCAAGCCATCATCGGACTCTCCCAGTCGTTGGCGGTACGAGTATATCACGTGTTGTGCAGTCAATTGTATTATTGTTTTCGAATAACCCAACGGTTTTTCAATTTTCGCAGGCCCCGTGCAACACGGAGAGGACGGGCGTTCGGGTGGTCACACTCTGCCCGGGACTGACGGAGACCGCGCTTACCATAGACAGTCCNTTATTATTATTATTTTTTTTTTTCAGTTCAGTCACCATCACGTATTTTGCAAAAACATCTGAAAACTAGTGTCTTTTGATGTAAAACATCAATCACATACAAAAAATATAGTTTAAAAAAAAAAAAATCTTTTTCTTTAATTTCTTCACAATCTCGTAATTTATTGCTGGTGATTTTTTGGTGGATTAATCAGGATGATTCTCCTCATGTTTAGAAAGTGCTAATGATTGATCTGGATGATACGATCGGCAGAGCCCAAGCGGAACTACTAAACGAGGAATTTGGCCGCAACCGCGTAAGCTTCGTTTGTTGTGACATAACGAAGGGTACCGATTTCGATGGTAAAAATATTGAGAAAAATTTAGGGAAAAAAAAAAAAAAAAAAAAAAGATTTTTTCCGCACATTTTAGCAACCTTACCATTACCAAAGGACAGGCGTGAGGATAATCGTCCTCTGCCCTGGTTTGACGGAATCCCCCGTGCTGGAGAATCTAAAGAGCGAGGAGTTTGTTCCTAGACCCGAGGAACTGATGGACGCCATGAAGGAGATTCATCGTCAAAGGTTCGTAAACGTCACCGTATAAGAATTATAATTTATTTGTCTGGCGTGGAATAATTTACAGCTCGAAAAACGTTGTAAAGGCTTAACTCTTTTTTTTTTTTTTTTTTTTTTTTTTTTTTTTTTTTTTTTTTTTTTTTTTTTGCGCGTACGAGGGACGTATAGATAGGGTGAGTGAATAAAATGTTCACAATATTATTTTTCAGAGCCGAGAGTGTGGCGCATGCACTGGTTTACGTGATAAGGTGCGCCCAAAATGGAAGCGTGTGGATCTCGGAGGACGGCAAGCCAGTCTATGAGATCCAGATGCCGGACACTTTGCCCACCAAATGACTTGATTTATAAAAAAAACTGTCAATCTTGTTTATTTGCGACTTCACGACTTTTATTACACATTTATTTGATTTATGACGGTGTGAGATTTTTTTTGTCTTATTTTTTACTAGTTAGCCCTAAAAATGTTAAATATTAGATCACTTTTATTAATTTACCCATTTTTTGTCGTACGTTAATTTTATTTATTTTTTTAGACTCAATATTCATATAGAATCGAAGCTTACAATTTTATTTACGTAAAAATAATGATACTCATTTTTTCATTACTATAGTAATTTGTATTAGGATTACTTAACTTTACAATGTTCATTTTCTACATATATGTAAATATTTAATTGTACGTCAGTTTAAGTTTTTAATAAATACAATTTTATATTCAGTTGAGTCGTTATATTTTTTATCCTGTGGAACGCCGAAATTTTTGTTGTTACAAATATTTTTTATATACTTACAATGCATTGTAATGTTTTTTATATTATTTAAAATNCAGCTGTTGAGGGATGTGGCCATCTTTTAAATTCTTAAAAATAATTTGAAAAACGAAAAATCGTATTTTTTATTTTACAAAGACATAATTAGTAAAAGTAAATTTTTCACGCGTAAAAAAAAAAATAAAAACGATTGAATACGTGAGCACTAAAAGTATTTCAAATTGTCCTATTGATATAAAATAGGTTTTAATGGAATTTACAAGCACACAAACATACAAGCAGCCATGGCCATAAAACCTCATTTCTCATTCCTTGTTTATATATTTCCTACTTATATACTTTTCTCGTAAGAGATGAAACCGACTATACTTGATGATAGTTTACCGCCCGAAAAGTAGCCATTTAGTGCCGTTCAAAAAGTTGGGCATGCATACAGGAGTCAACATTAAAAAATTAATTAAATCTACAATTTTTAATAATAAAAGGTGGATAAAAATTGTCAAGTACAAGAAATACGTATTCCATAAGACATCAACAGGTACGATTTATTAAAATAAAAAAATCCAACGATACGTGAATGCCAAAAATTTGTGTCAATTTTATTTTTACACGTAATTTAAATGACGTAACGACGTATGTGATCAAATTTATTATATAATTTTTTTTTTTTGTGCAAGAGGCATATGTTTCAAAGCTTTACATAATTAGTACTTGTGACGTGTAAAAAAGACACGAAAAACACATAAATTATTAAAATTACTTTGTGTTAAAATGTGTTTGCACAATTGTCTGATGCAGCTATGTGTTGCACGTATAAGTAAACCAACATCTTTGAAAATTCATTCACATAGTCATAAAATTTACTCTCGAAACATGTTTCTCACAAGTTTAATTATTTATAACTTGTTAATCGTGTGTTTGAGTGACAATGGTAATACGCGAGTATATATATACAATCTATTAAAATTAGTTTCGAGATAAGAAAGAAGTACCATCACAGTATCACGCAAAAGTGTGCGCGTACTCAATAAATTTTTTATTATTATTATTATTTTTTTTTTTCAGTTCAGTCACTTCAAACCGAAAGTATCATTAATGGCCAAATAACGACAACCGATGATTACCCATACCACGTTTTTGTTCGAATTGCCGAACGCATTTGCAACGGTGCCATCATCAGTGAACGGCACGTCGTAACGGCAGCTCATTGCCTTACCCATGGAAATGGTAAAATTATCCGTCATCGTGTTGTAATCGTAGCCGGGGTGAATAATTTCGATGAAAAATCCAAACTGAGATTCGTCACCAAAGCTTCGAAGGTCTACGTGCCCGAGAGCTTTCATCCCGTACATAATCTATCCGGACAAGACATTGCTATAATCAAGGTATGCAATCTCACGCGCGAATAATATTTATGTTATCGTTAGAAGAAAAAAAAAGTGTATCATCTGCACTCAAATGTTTGGTTAAACAAAAACACACGAATGCGTGATCTTGTGGACCTTCTTTGCTTTAAATATCTTACTCAGAATTTCTGTAACTTAAATATCACGATATTTTATGTTATTATTTTTGTACTAAATTAAAAATCGTGCTTACATTTTGCAAAATTCATCTTTTTTTTTTTTATTTCAATCAAAATTAAAAATGATATTTTTTAAACTTCATTTTACGTTACAGCTCGAAAACGTCATACCAACTGATAATCCTCGAATCAAAAAAGTCGAACTACCCGATCCCTACTTCGATGACAATCTCGATTTATACGCCGATAGAAAAGCCATCATCACTGGTTTTGGCTGCAACGAAATAACCATCGCAAGTTCGGCAAATCGATTGTACGTCAAAAACGCTGGCACGTCAAGGGACTTGAGGTTTTCGAAAACGCGTATTTTGTCCTCGGACGAGTGTTTAGCGATGTATCCTGGCAAAAATATCGCGTCGAAAGTGCTTTGCGCTCGAATGGAGCAGAGACTAGGATTTTTCACAGGTGCTTGCATGGTAAGGCATTGTAATTGTCTGTTGCTTGATAAACAAAATTAAACTGACCGTCAATGTGTGTTGGTATTCAGGGTGACAGCGGAGGCCCCCTTGTGGTGCAAGAGATGGGAGTTAACGTTCTCATTGGAGTACTATCTTACGGGAACAAGTTTTGCAATGAACGGGTACAGCCGTCGGTGTATACAAGGGTCACGTTTCACCGGAATTTCATTAAAAACGCCATGGCTGAGAATTTTGATTCGACTATAACCTGCCATTCTTACGCAAGGGGTTTTTGCTCTGTGCAATGAAAAAAAAACCGTGATCACAAAGTTTCATCTCGTCGCCCAGAGAGGTTTTCTTCTGTTACATTGCATGTACATACTGTATATATCTATATATTCCTGCTGTATATAAATCATATGTTTAAATTAAAACGACTTAACTAAAGATCTAAGGAGTGTAAGTTTATGTTAAATTAAAAAAAAAAAAAAAAATACATTTAGAAGTAGTGCTTAATATCATGCAAATTATCATGCGATGTCTTTCATAAAATTAATTTTTATTTTGGATTTTTTCTCGTTGAATGCTTTTATTTAATTTACAATATAATGGTATTATCTAATTAAAAAAAAAAAAAAAAGAAGTGTTTATCGTATTGACGCGATTATCGTTACTAGAGACACCGATTTTTTGAACACCTGTAAAACAATATACATCGAACATTAAGTTATTGTGCGTGAAATTCATGTATTGGCAGACGGACAAAAAAATACTCACGAATCCAAAACTTTCGAAATTCAAAGTCACAAGTTTACCCGCTGTGTACTGACATGGTACCGAACTACGCAACATTATAATCTTAATCAGCTGCTTGGATTTGGGACATGTGTTGAACCAATTGCTGTGGAAACTAATACAAAACATATTAATTTGAAAAGAAAAAAAAGTTTAATTATAACTTTGTAAAAACACATTGGAAAAAATGCGTAACAAAAATTACTATTGTTTTACTACAATATTGAGAAAACGAAGATGTGCCAGTATTTTTAATTCAATAATAATTATTAAAAATCATTATTGCACTTTGCTTTCATTATTAACGTTTGGGCTACTGGATGCCGTGAAATATTAAACTTGTACAACGCAAAAAGTTAAATTTTTTGATGATGCTTCGCTTTTTCACGTGCCTTTTAATAATATCGATAATAATGTTAGTTGGTACGTTGCCACTAACGTCTGACCGTTAGTTAGATAGAAAAAATAATTTTTATTGTTCCATGTTTATTCTTAAAAAATAATATTTACTTTTTCTAAATAAACAATTACACTATCTGGGATTTATTACCCCGTAGTTCTCATAAATACATCTTACAATCCTTGAATTTCTCGAGAACCTCTGACCTTAGCTCATCCCAAATATTGTATATGTTAGGTAGCAACTAATAAGTACATCACGGCTTTTCCCATTAATGTGAAGTTATATTTTTAAATTAGTAATTATTATTAAAAAAACGTATTCCTTGCCCTTACACTGCATTTTTTACATTCGCACTGCTTTCCGCGATCGTCTGACCGGGATACATACTGACGAACAAAAGTGCCGTGAAGCCAATGTACAGGCCACCAAATCTGATTGTCTGTTCCATTTCACCGGCTTCGAATCTCAATAGAGTCTAGAAAGTAATGTTGTTTTATTTATTTGTGGCAATGGCCGTGAAATATGTAATTTCTAATGTTGCATATCCTTACGACCACAGCAGCAAAGCTGATTATTATCGTGCCAAATATTACGATGACAAAGTAGCAAAGAGTGAAACTGTCATCCATCAGATTTACACATCTGATAAAATTAAAGCGTTTCAGCAATAAAATATAGTTTTACACATTAATGCGACAATTTTTTTTTTCATTAATTTCAACTCAACTGTATGGCTTCTTTATGCAAGTGGACAGCATCTACTATATTAAGGTAAACTTTGGCATCTCTTTCTGTCTTGCTTAAAAATGTCTTGTTTGTTGCTATTGCAGTGGCTCTTTGTAAACGTTGTCTGAAAATCATTGGTTTAAATAACCAGCTGAAAAAGCTTTTATGCAACAACGAAAAATGATTTCAGATTTTGAAAAACGTTATTTCATTATCTAGCTTGCGAAAAATTATTTACCTAGTACGTGTATTCGTTTTCGTTCTGTAATCGTACGTTGATTAAGAAATTATTAGAATTAATAACAATATTTATATAACTGTACAACAGTACATTTATAATAAAACAGTTTTTTTTAAAGATTTTTATGTGTTGTCTAAATGACGATGACTAACACAAATACCAAAAACCGATATAATAGTGTTAATACTAGTAAATTGATAAATTTTTTTTTTAAACTCATACGAATATTATATTAATTTTCTCATAGTCTAATAATAATTTACTTTCAAAATTGTTTCATACTTTGATCGCGTTTCTGTTGCTATTTCATCAGATCACAATTTACGTATATTAATATATTTTAGTTGAGGAAGTCCCAAATAACATCATGAACTTCTAACGAGTCTGATATTCTCAAAAAAAATATTTTCATGTCATCAAAATATTTAGTAGAGACGAACTTACTCGACGCACAAAAAAAGTCCACAAGCATGTTGAGCACATTGAATGCAGTTTGTATGGAATACAACGTAAAGCTGAGCAGAGATTGTACATACGACCCATCCGTGAACCGAAAGTTGGAAGTAATACTTTTGATCATCGACAAAGTACTCGGCAAAGTAAGGGAAAACTCGAGGTCGAGTTTCATTCAACGGTTTCACCACATCCAATAAAACTGGTACAAGTGGCAAGCTCAGATATGCCGTTAAAGCAACGTTGACAAGTACTGAAAATATTTTCCGCATGGGAGAACCAAAATATCATTTAAAATAGGTTATCGGTATTTTATACTTGTATAGTTAAAGGATGTGAAAGGCAAAATATCATTGTAATAGATAATAATCTTTTTTTTGGAATTCCTTTATCTCGTTATATTATTTAAGATAAGAAGACAATGTAAAGGGCTTACCATGTCTCGTATAAAAAAATCTTTGATAAAAAAGGACTTTATTTGTCGAAAACATTTTACTCGTAAAATTTTTTAAATAGCATGAACGCTTCGATTGCAGCATGTATTTTATCTAGCTCCGTGATTTTTCATCCAATTCAAACGTTTCGAGGCAAGTTTTTGTTACTAAATGATTTATGAAACGAAAATTAAAATAAATATTAAAAGTAAAAAACATGAACATCCGTTAAAAATCTGCATCAAATCGTTCAAGACAAAACTTCGAAAAATTAAAATTATTATTATTAAAAACACTTTCCAGTAAATTAAGAACGTTTTAGTTCACTATTACAATTGCATCATCTTGTTTGTATTATATTTCTCAAAAAACTTAACGCTATTACAGATTTAAAGGGTTTTTAAGCAATTTATCATTGATAAATGGTACCTGCATATCCTATCGTTAGTTTCCGACCAATTGTTGCACACTCTCGTAACATATTGATATCTTCTTGGCTTGAAAATGTGCTCCAATGCCTCATTATTTTTTCGTAAAGATACTTCATCTGTCGATTGAGCAGTTTTTATCATTTTTGATTATCAACAAAAGTTTTACGTTGGATTTCCAATTGTAACAAATTTAAATTACCTTTGGTTGGACTCTAATGCAGCTCATATACTTGATTTGAGACATCCCAAAATACATTAGAGAGCCCGATGTCTCGAGCATAATGTTAGCATTTTTTCCCCATTCTTCCCATAGTTTTATTGCCTATGGAGAACTTTTTTTCATATCACTATGTGCAAAAAATTATTATGAAAAAGAAAAAAAAAAAAAAAAAAATTACTCACTTGAGGTATACACAGAGAAGTAATTAGTAAAATGATAGTCACGTTTTTTGTTTTATTGACAAATTTTTTATCAAATGGCCATAATCCCAAAAGTTTCAAATAAAACAAATTAATTTTGTAATAATGACTTTTAAATACTGCCATTTCAACAATTTTAATATTTTCCCATGCTCGTATCATTTTTGAGCTTCGAGTGAATATTTTTCTGTCTTTTTTAACAAAAGCAGTGAGGTCTCTTGAAGCCAAGAAATACGGCCAGATTCATAAAAAATTAATGAAACCGTTTTGAGCGATTTTCTTGAGGCAATTTTCTCTTCACATGCTACCACAATAAGCAAAAGTCATGAATAATTTCTGAACAACTGTATCTGGTACAGCCACTGACTCTATACACACAGAAAAATCCTACACCTTAAAATTTTCTGTACCAATGAAATACGATTTCCAACCATTGCAATGATTTATTAATTGAAAACAGTAATGATTTTTTATTTACGATACGAAAATTATCTCGTCACATAACGTTCTTTTATTATCAAGGATACAATATTCTGCTAATAATTCATAATTATTGCGAGCAGTAAAAATTTTGTTAATAACCTGAAAAACTGTATAATTAAAGTCAAAATTAAGAGGGACTCATGATTGTATAAAGGATATACTTTTATGTTTGTTGATTTTTGTTTTACACAGTGAAGGCGATTAAGACTGAAGTACTTTTATTTTGGAAAATTAATAGACATCCTAATGTAGTGGAAATATTCGTTATTTGCTTCAATTATAATATCCTTAAATATTTTTAAAAATATTTAGTGAGCAAAAATTGCTTTCAAGTCGTCATAACATCATCCCAAATTCTCTGGTACCAACACTATTATTTGAATTGTACAGTAAAAAAAATGTTTGTAATAAATTGATGACACAAGCTGGATGATCGATGTCTTATGTACTTGCTTGTCCATGTAGTTGGCGCCGTTGTGCCCCAATATATAACTGTATCATGCATGTGCGTAATAGGTGCAATTTTATCTATAAACAACGATAAGCCCGCGGTTTGAAGGTTTATGGAAAAATCAATACTATCGAGCATTATTTCTACTATGCATTACGTTTCACGATACCATCAAATGTAAAACTACATGTATGATAAGATTTTTTAAAATTAAATAAAAAATATAATTTGCATAGAGAATAAACAAATTTACTGATGTAAACAAAACTATTTTCAAAAAGCTGTAAATTTGTTGTTTTTTCGGTGATTTAAAAAGTTATAGACTTACAAGTTCCAAGCCCCAAGAAGTTGTAAATCTCAGGATAAATATTTCTTTGTGAATGCCTTTATTTAATTTTTTTTCAGTATTACAATTTTAAAAGTTAAAAAAAAATGGACACACCTTAAATAACGTTAAAAAAGCAATACTTTCACCTTTATAAGATAATCATTAAGTCCTGAATGATAAAAATTATTAAATATTAAAAATAAATAGTTCATTATTAACCTAATGTAACCACATTTATTATTAAACGGTGTGCACATATATTTCTTTATAATAAACTTACACTTAAATTCAAAAACTTATTCAATATACTTTAAATAACTTTCAATGCTTGAATCTTTTCGAATATTTTGCTGCATCTCTTAATGAAGCATCATTTTCAATGTACCACGCAAATTCTTTGCAGCATTTTGTTTTAATGTCTCAACTTCATCAAGGAAAAAATTTTTCGAAAAATATGGAAATTAGTTAAATTACTGATTTAGAAACCACAGTTTGTATTGAAATTATATTACATCATTCTTTTATTGAATCGATAAAATTATTCAAAAGTAATTAATAGGTCGTAATGTCTTTTTTTTTTTTTATTTTTATTTTATTTTTTTTTTTAATTAGCAAGACTATTACGTTTAAAATAAAATGTAGGTATTAAAAATAACTACACAAAGAGCACATTTGGATAACGATCAAGTTATAAGTTTGTTTGCTAATCGTAAAAAATAGAAATGAAATTTTTTTATCATTACCGAATAATTACCCGTAAACAATAGTTTATTCAATAAATTTAAGATGGTACAGTCGTTTATCGATTGACCTGTACAAGGTACAAATAAAACTGTAAATATATTGTTTTAAGCTTTGGGAAATAAACACTTAGTTTTATGAGATGTCACATGTTATGTGTAATGAAACCAGAAGTGTACAAAAACACTCCGAACATTTCGTAGTTCTAAAAACTGATGGGCTGATAAAAATAGATATCGTTTTTAAAGACTATGTACGTTCTTAGAATGGTATACTGATAATGTGATATGTGAACTGAGGGCTCGGGTCATCGCACTGCGAAACTTGTATATGTTTGTGTGTGCGTGTGTTTGTTATAAAAGCGGGGTACATTGCGGTGTTGGGGCCTTTGCCAGTTTGACTTGCGTGTGAGCCATTTGCTCGATACGTTAAATAAATTGTCTTTCACGGTTTAAATTAAGGTAATTTATTTGTCAGTTCTACATTATATGTATCTGTTGTTTATATTAGTCATTGTAATAATTTATTATTGTTAATAAAGCCTGAAGAGGTCGACACACCAGTCGACGAAACGTTGCTTAAACTAAGTGTTTTCATTTGCCCCAGAAGATCAACGAAATAAACTTATATATATATAATATGGAGGGCGAGATAGACTCAACTATTAAAATAGATATCGGTTTGAGATTATTGATATTCAGATGTAGGTTTTTTTTTTTTTTTTTTAATAAATACCTACTTATGTAGTGTATTTATTTTTAGGCTTTTGTAAACGAGTACATAACAGTAAGGCACATTTTACATTATATATTTGTTATTTATTACAAATAATGGTTACATATTACATTATTGATTACACATTATTGGATTCACTTTTTGTACTTTATTGGCACGTTGATGATGTCTCATAGACCACCTCGAGAGCGAAGGATCTATGTGGCAGGCAATTTTTGCTGCGAGAAGGTCGCTCAAACCCTTTACGAGGAGCATTGCGTGGTGAAAAAACCAAAACCCTTGGCCGACCAGGTAAAAAAGATTGAACGAGTTTGCACTAATTTGAGTACGACCGTGTCGATTGTCCTACTTTAATCCACATACCCGTTCCATTGTCATTTATAGCATTTTTGATGAAATCCAAGTACTTAGCAATTTTAGTTTATACCCTAACATCGGTTCCTCAATACATTATGGTATATTGCGATAGTTTTACCCTAAACACTATTATTATTCCTAAAATTCTCATTAGTATCGATGTAATTGATAGTATTAGTTGAAGTTGATATAACTCATATGATTTAATGTTTAACAAAAAAATTAATTCAAGACACCTACCGAACAAACGCCTTGAGGTGCCATGGATGATTTTTGCTTCATTTGGCCACATATAATTTTTTGATCATAGTCGCATTGCTTGGTCTTTACTACATCTACGAACTCATATTTCAATTTTCCTGAGGATTCGCCAAACTCAAGAGTATCTTTGAGAGCAGGACTGTACACTTCCCTAACTTTATCCCAGCCAAAACCCATCGTCACTGCAGTTTTGCCGATAAAATCTTCGTTTTCCAGTGGTAGAGACGCCAAACCAATGGGTAAACGACCACTTACGTCGAAATCTTTTTCCAACTAAAGAAAATATACGTTCAACCCATTCAACTCATCTTAAAATTGTTCAAGAGATTTCCATACAAGTTTATGGTAATATAAGTACCTACTTTCAATACAGCGATGTCATTAGTTCCTCGTACGAAGATAAATTTATCGTGGATGTAAATTTTTATAACAGCACTGCTGTAAGTGTCATCGTTTGCATTCGTTGTCCCAGCATTGACTGTTAATAAGTGAATATATACACCATAGACGTCGTAAACGCAATGAGCTGCTGTCAAAACGATATTGGGTGCTATGAGTGCACCGCCGCAATGATGGAATTGTCTCAACTGTATGGAGACAAAGTACTTGAATTGGTGTTTTTTGGCCAAGTGACCACCAATGATTCTTTCGGATTCCAGACCTGCAACTGTAGGTAAAGTGAAGATACGGTAAGCCACAAATTAATGATTAATTCATGACTTTTGACGTACAAAATTTAATTGTCCAGATTAAGTATACGATAGTATTTTTAATAATGATTTACAAAAATTTTTATGAGCTTCACCAACTACCTGATAAAAATAGTTTATTTTGAAATTTATTAGAAGTTACTTGAACTCTAACGCTCAAAGCCAATTTATATGTACTGCACAAGTTGCGAGATGAAAACTATAAAAGTATTTTTTGAATACAAAAAACTATTACAGCCAATTTACAATACAATCACCAATTTTCTTTTGATAAAAGAGAGGCTCAAAAATTAAATTAAAAAAAAAAATTGTAGATTTATCAAAATGAGATGAATATCTATGTATCGACTTTGGTATTCCACTCGTACTGGTACAATTTGATTTTTAATTAGCTGCAACATATTTATTACACATTTTTTATGTAATAGTAAAATTTACAAACTTCTGTATGAAAAATCAAAAAGTGTCATAATACTGTACTTAGGGTCAAATATTTTAAATTGAACAGAGATAGTTTATGTATAAGAAAATAATTAAAAAGTGTTTTTAGAATTTTAATTTTTTTACTAACTTACCATTGCTAATAAATACAGTAAGAGCCACTACTAAAACTTTAGAATTGTGCCCCTTCATTTTTGACTCGCTTAATGAATTTTTTACAAGGAAATGCACTACCATATTTTATGCCTTTAAATTATTATCTTAAGGAAATTAACGTTCCGATTATAACAGTCAATAAAATTCCATGCTTACAGATAATTGAAAAATATAACGTTTTAAGTTTGTTGAATCAGCTCTCACGTAACCAGGGTCCTAACTAATTTAATAAAATCTTCATTTGATCACAGTTCAATTAATAATTAAAACTTAAATTCTTCAAAATACTAAAGTATGTTTACGTTTTAAAGAATTTTTTTTAAGTGTATCAAGAATCATTACACGCATTTTGATACGCCAGCCTACGATAAAGTGAAGGTACGAAAATACGCTTTTTAATTAACTTTTTTTAATTAATTTTCAAAAACTTTTGTACATGATTTTTATACTATAACGGTAATTTTCTATGTTTGAATTTATTCTTTGAGTTTACCTCAGCATATAACCTTCCAATTTTTTGTATTTTAAACTTACAAAAATTATTCTTATATTTTTGTACTTAAAATAATAGTAGTTTTCCTACGAGTTTGAAAAGTCTTTGTTTGCGAACCAAGAGGTTTGCGGCCCGAGCCGAAGGCGAGGTCCGTAACGAGGTTCGTAAAGGAGACTTTTCGAACGAGTTCCGGAAAACTGCTTTTTCGCCCGAGGAAGTACCAGCCTCCCAAAACCACCCAAGGGCGGAAAAAGTATTTTTCTTAACTCGACAATTGACTTGATTTTTATTTTTCCGTTTTAACACTTATTATTTAACTTTGTTTACTACAAGAAAAAAGAGTCCAAGCAAGTCAGTAAACTCTATAAGTCCTAGAGAGACCACATCTAAAAGTAGGAACTAATCCAATAAAAAATAATAAGTCTCTTTTTTCAAAATAACGCAACAAATAAAAAACAACAATCACATTTCACAGCTGTAAGCTTCGAAATCAATTGTGAAATTAACTCTTGCATTTTATATTTTTAAATAGACGCTTGATAATTTAAAGAAAATTAATTATTGGATTGAATAAACATATCGCTTGTTTCCTTGTCATGTATAGCATTTTTGATGAAATCCAAGTACTTGGAGACTTTCGTGTACGAAGCCGGCTCATATGACTCGTCACATCCTTTTGGACTAAGACTCACGATTCCAATGACTTTATTGTCGTACACAAGAGGACCACCGCTGTCACCCTGAAAATCATTGCGTTGGTTTATAAATTGACACAAGCGATGGGTATTGATAAAAAAAAAATTTCCATAGTTGATTTAAAAATAAAGATAAAACAAGACCGGATGAATTCTTGTACGGATTTTTTAATAGAATTTTTATATTTCATCACTGCTTTTGGATACGATTAAGCATTTTAAAAACCAATATTTGATAACAAAATTGGAAAGACACATACCCCACAAACGCCTTGAGGTGCCCCATACAATCCTTGCTTCATATGAGCACACAGAGTTTTTTGATCCAAGTCACATCGATCGGTTCTTACAACATCTACAAATTCATATCTTAATTGTCCTGAGGATTCGCCAAACTCAAGAGTATCTTTGAGAGCAGGACTGTACACTTCCCTAATTTTATCCCAGCCAAAACCCATCGTCACTGCAGTTTTGCCGATAAAATCTTCGTTTTCCAGTGGTAGAGATACCAAACCAATGGGTAAACGACCATCGAAACTCTTCTCCAACTGAAAAAAAAATTCAAATACATAGCCACTCGACTTATTTTCAAGAGACGCAAAATATTTTTGTTCAAACATGACTATGTGATACCGACCCTCAACACAGCAATATCATTCATATCACCTGGATATTGGTATCGGTATTTCAGATGAGCGTAAATTTTTATAACGCGACTACTGTAAGTGTCATCGTTTGCATTCGTTGTCCCAACGATGACTTTAAAAGGTGATTTATGGATACTAATGCCTCGGGAGTCGTAAACGCAATGAGCTGCTGTTAAAACGATATTGGGTGCTATGAGTGCACCGCCGCAATGATGGAATTGTCTCAACTGTATGGAGACAAAGTACTTGAATTGGTGTTTTTTGGCCAAGTGACCACCAATGATTCTTTCGGATTCCAGACCCGCAGCTATAAAAAAAGTATGGTTGAAAAACTATCAATAACTAATCCAATAATTGTATTTAATTTAATTTCATAGTTTACGTATTAATTGTCCAATTGTCATTCTACCGTAGTAATTGTGAGTAAAGAATCATCGTCGCAAAGATCCGAATCATTAAATATACCTCATCAAGCAAAATTTAATAAACATTAAGAAACTACAAATTTTTTAATAAAAATAAATATTTATACATTTTTTAGATGAAAAACTATTGATAACTATGTTAAGTACTAGGTTTTTAAAATTTTAACGCACTGGTAAAAATTATGTACACTTTTCGTGGAGTTAGTGCGAATTATTTTAACAGGAGTGCTATGATCAGATTTACTCTTGGATGGGTTGAAACCATTATTGTCATTTTACTGTAGTCGTAAAAAAGAGTTAACAAATTATTCAATATTTGTAATTACGAGAATTATAATTAACTTTAGAAAAAAATTTAACACTTCAAAGTACGAAAAACTGTGATAGCATAAAAAAAGTCTACTGACATGGAATTAGAGACAAAACACAATGTTTATTTTTATAATTGACATATTATGCTCGTTCTATTCTGATATTTCAAGTACTTAGTTTTATTTCCACGACTTAAAATATGTTTGTAACTTGTTTTTTAATAAGAGATATTTTTACGAATTTTTCTTCCTTATTAAAAAAGTTAAATAATACATTCCAATGATTAATGTCAGTCTTTTCTATGGTATACATTAAATATTTTCCAAGTACTTTATAGTTAAATCTTCATTGCAACTCTAAAGTGAGATAAAAATCAAATACTAGTTGTAAGCAGAAGTATAACGATTTCCAAACTATTTCTAAAAGAACATTAATTTTTAATTAGTTCATTCCCGAAAATCAAATTTTTTTTTTATTAACTCACCATTACTAATCAGTACAGTAAAAACTGCGAAAAAAACTCTAAGATTGGACCACTTCATTTTTAACTCACTTAATATCGATATTTCTTAATGTAAGAGAATTTTCGGTTATACGTCTTATATACTTTTATAACCTGACGCAGGTTAATGTGTCAATTTAAATTAATACATTGAATAAGATGGAGTTTTATTGAACGGATATTCGTAATAAAAATGACAAATAATAAAATCATGTTCATTCTTAATTGACTGTTAAGTAAGCACGTATAAAATTTATACATTTTTATTTCAAGCGTGTAATTTTATACAAATGTTTTACACATGAAGTTGCTTGTAATGAGGACATACTTTCAATATCAATGTTGTCACCCCATCTGATGCATTTTATAACTAAACGTTGAAAAACAGAATAGCCCCAGATTAATTATAATTATGATGTAAAATCGAGTCATTAGGTCAAGTTATTCTATTATTTGACTTGTGATTAACAGTGATAACAGTGATTATATTTTGCTTAGAAAAAAAAAACAAACAAAAAATAATAAGCACCTAGCATGTCCGTACTATGAAGAGTTTGAGCTATTAACACAAAAATAATTGTAATATTGTAATTTATTCACAGGAAAGTTTTTTTCATAAACTCATTTAATATCGTAGCCTAAAAAATTACTCTCAATATTAAAATCAAGGTTCACTTTAACGTAGTAATGCGAAAATGTCTCAATAATACGGGCGCGATAAAAAATGATTGGTAATAATAATAGTTAATAGAAGATTTTTTTTTAAAACATGGAGCAAAATAGCAGACCAAGAAAGCTCACATGTTTACTGTACTCTCACAATTCGATACTACGAGGCTTCTAACAAATTTTGTTAATGTCTTATGGAGGCCACATCAAAAATGAAAGATACGGTCAAACAAAACGGTATCAACAACTTAATCTTTTGGTATACTTATAGTTATAATGTGTCAATGTTAACCATATATTTTTGTTTATTTATACATAATTATATACATATTTACAAAGTAAGTAATTAGAAAAATTGATATCAGATGAACTTTGCGTTCCTAACTGCAATCGGTCGACGAATTTAATTACGAATCAATAAATCATTATCGTACGACGCTTAATCGTGATAATGCAATTATCTCACCAGATCATAACAAATCATGCGGCGCAAAAAAAAAAATTTTTCAACTTCTTACTAATTAAGCAGTTTTAACATAACATTAATTACGAAATGTTATTTTCCGTTTTATTACGAACAATTGATTGAATGTTTTTACAACATTGGAGTCACAATGACCACTATGTTTAAACAAAAAATGTGTACTCTTGTACAAAATAACATTACAACAAGGGACTACACTTGTGCAAAAACTATGCAGTTTTGGGGATAAGGCACGACTGAGACATCAATTACTACAAAGCTGTTATATTTATTTTTCAAAGTTTGACTTAGTACAACTGATGTATTTATCACCCATATATTTCTATGTACAACATTTATAATATTCTAGATAAAAAAGTTATCTCGAAATAAGTTGTTTAATTTTTTGGAAGAAAAAAGTTCAGTAAAAAAAATTGTACTTTTTTAAAGATTTTCGACTTCTCTATCCCATACTCACGATCGCAGAACTTGTTTACGTGGACAAAAAATAAATTTTCAGCTTCTTTGAATTGTAAAGCATTTGATTTTATCCTAGAGTTAAATATATGAAACAGAAAGGGTGTATTTGTTTGAGGTTTAAAATTATTGTACTCACTTTTTTTCATAGAATATCAAATTTTTTGCTGTTAAGGTTGAAAAACTAATTTTTCGACTTTGTTAAGTAATTCTTTATGTTGTTACAATGATTTAGTTTATCACTTGTCCCATAATTAACTCATTGTTCCACCTTACAATCTTTTATAGGGTTCATTTTCGTTTATTTTATAAAATAAAAATAATACAAAAGTGTACGATAACTTATTTATTTTTAGGCTTTTGTAAACGAGTACATAACAGTAAGGCACATTTTACATTATATATTTGTTATTTATTACAAATAATGGTTACATATTACATTATTGATTACACATTATTGGATTCACTTTTTGTACTTTATTGGCACGTTGATGATGTCTCATAGACCACCTCGAGAGCGAAGGATCTATGTGGCAGGCAATTTTTGCTGCGAGAAGGTCGCTCAAACCCTTTACGAGGAGCATTGCGTGGTGAAAAAACCAAAACCCTTGGCCGACCAGGTAAAAAAGATTGAACGAGTTTGCACTAATTTGAGTACGACCGTGTCGATTGTCCTACTTTAATCCACATACCCGTTCCATTGTCATTTATAGCATTTTTGATGAAATCCAAGTACTTAGCAATTTTAGTTTATACCCTAACATCGGTTCCTCAATACATTATGGTATATTGCGATAGTTTTACCCTAAACACTATTATTATTCCTAAAATTCTCATTAGTATCGATGTAATTGATAGTATTAGTTGAAGTTGATATAACTCATATGATTTAATGTTTAACAAAAAAATTAATTCAAGACACCTACCGAACAAACGCCTTGAGGTGCCATGGATGATTTTTGCTTCATTTGGCCACATATAATTTTTTGATCATAGTCGCATTGCTTGGTCTTTACTACATCTACGAACTCATATTTCAATTTTCCTGAGGATTCGCCAAACTCAAGAGTATCTTTGAGAGCAGGACNAAAAAAAAAAAAAAAAAAATTATAAATCGTCTACTTGCAAAGTTATAGAAAAAAACAAATGTTTTTCTTCGAAATTCAATACCAGAGGGATATCATTTTCTTACATCTCCTTTCTGAAACCCACTTTCTGTAAGTACTAACATTCTCATTTTCATTATAAAATACCTTGTTTTGGGTATTGTATGTAGGTGGGAACTCCACTTATGGCAAATTTTTTTCTACAGAAATTTAAGTTTTGATATACTTTTGCTCCACGAAAATAGCCTTGAAAATGTAAAGTGGGATGCAGAGGATTCGTCAGTTAAAAATGGAAAATAAAGTAGTAGTATTGATAGTAAAAATATTGTATTTATAACGTGGTTAGTGGCTTGAAAGTTACACAAATCATAGTTACTAAAGTTGAACCTAATTTAACATCCAGAATAAATAATTTTTACTATCCGTAAATTGTCTCTGCATAAAAACCTATACTAACACCTAAAAAGAAATTTGTTTTACATAATTCGTTAAATTTATTCACGATTTTAATATTCACTTCAAGGAACTTTTAAAAAAAGCATTAACCGTGTATAACAAGAGGTACCTGTTATAGTTATATTTTTTCATAATCTCTTGATATTGAAAAATCATAAATACAATACAAAATAATTAAAGGTACAACAATTTCTGGGTAATAATAACTTTACTTCATTTACAATAATTTTGCAGTAGTTTTGAATATTTTTAATTCTTCCACTGATCGAACATTTCACTAACTCAGATATTAATAAAAAATTATCACTTAACTTGTCATGCAAATTCTTTATTTTTTTGCGTTGTTACACGTAAGTCTCCTACTTCATTCACCAACCCGTTTAATTCATCATTTTGTTTAAAAATATTTAAACATTTTGTGTTATTTATTTTTAGATATTCTACTCAATATTCAACATTAAGTAAATCTGTGTAGTTATTAACAAAGTCTTTAAGACGTCACATAAAAATATTGAATAGTCTAAGGAGACACAAGTAGTTTTTTCAGTTAATTGCAGTTAAAAATTTATTTTCTCTACTTCAAAAACTATTACTTTTCTACTTAGTGGTGCAATGTACTATTTTTGTATTAAACAATCAGATACATCTGAATATTTATTGTTAAACAACTTTTGTATTATATTTTTTTTTAACTTGCTTTTGACTAGAAAAATAATTATTCGATGTATTAATATTCAATAGATTTGATTAACATATCGCTTGTTTCCTTGTCATTTATTGCACCTTCAATGAAGTCAAGGAAATCAGAAATTTTAGTGTATGTAGCTGGTTCAGATGATTCGTCACATCCTCTTGGACTACGGCTCACAATTCCAATTACTTTATTGTCGTACACAAGAGGACCACCGCTGTCACCCTGAAAATATTGATGTCGATGAATTAATGAGTACAAATGAAAAAAAAAAACATTTACAATTGATTCAGCGAATTATTT